CGATAGGTGTTTGGCGTTGGCTGGTCCATCTGCGGCCGCGCCATCCCGCGCATGCACGCGCGCGCAGCGGCCAGCTAGTTTGGCGCGACCGGCGCGGCTGCGGTGGCGCTGAGTGCTGGGCACACCCCAGCGGGCACTGCAGTGCGAGTCGGGTATTGGGGCGGGCGCGGGATCATGGCAACGTCGACAAAAGTAGGCGCGATGATGATGGTAGCGATGCTGGTGACGATATTGACAGCGCCGCCGGCACGGCCAGTGACGGCGCCGATGCTGATCACGCGGGCCACGATGACGGTGTCCTCGCGTCGGTGATGAAGGTTTTGGAAAGAGATCGACATGCGCGCGCGGCCGACTCGCGAGAGTGGCCCGCATTGTGTCCTTTGACACGGAACGTCCCCCCCCCCCAAAAAAAAAACACGCGCAAGGAAGCGCGAATGATCTCGGCATGGTGCGGGAGAGGCCCGTTTGGCAGAATTCCATGGACACGTGGAAAAACGCATGGCTTTCTGTTAGAAACTGATGTTGCGGAACTTGGTTTAAAATGTGTTTTGGACATTCGATTTTGAATTCACCACGAAGCCGCAAGTTTTTGACATATTCCTGCATGCGCGCGCGACGACGCGCGCGCGTGCACTTCGTCTCTTTTTTTGCAAAAGGGTTCTCGCGTCAGCACGCGCGCTAGGGCGTTCGAACGATTTCGACATGCGCGCGCGAAACCCGTGTGGTTGCATGTTCAGAAGATATTAAAAGCCGACGGTTTCCTCAAGATTTCGTGCGGGCGCGCGCGCAAGTTTTTTTTGGCCTGTGTGTTTGGAAATCAGTGTTGTGAAATCATGCGTTTATTCCTATATATATGTGTGTATGTACAGAAAGCAGATAAAGCCTTATGAAACCGAAGGTGCTTGAAGAGTTTCGGCACGCGCGCGCGACAGCGCGCGCGTGTGCACTTCGTCTTTATTTCCAAGGGATTCGTGTAAACTGTTGATTTTCGATAAACGAGTTCGCGCGCATAGTACTTGTTGCAGAGGACGGCGGGGGGGGCGATACCGGCCCCCTGGGCTTGTGTAAATTCATATTGAGGATGAACGATTCGACTACACGTGAGAGTGACCTTTCGCCAGAGTGACCTCAGGTGCTGGCCCAACGGGGGCCGGGTGATTCTTCTTGTGGAATGAGCTTGGCTCCGCGTCGGCACCCGCATCGCGTGATCACGCTCGCATCTCAGCGAACCAGGTTTGGGCCCACCCCTTGCAATTGACAGCAACGCATTCGCGTCGCACCCTGCAGCTTGCATTGGTTACCCGAGGGGGAACTGGCCGACCAGACGGCGCATTTTCCGGCCCAGGACCAGTCCCGAATCCCAGCCCAAATCCCAAAACGTCTGGTTTGTATATTTCTGGATGTTTTTGAATAATTCTGAATATGTTTTCGAACCACTGTGGATCTTTACGTAAGTTATCCAAGGATACTATCCAAGGATATTCAAACACATTGCAAGTTCTCGGATGGGGCCAGTTTTCATGACGCCTGGCCTGGTCAAGCGTCATCGCGATGCAGCCCGGCAGTGCCAGACCTCATCGCGGTGGCCCCCAGCAGCGTCTGCTTTCGCAGCGCCTTCGGGGTATCATTCGGGGCGCTCCAATGCAATCGGCGGAACCCCGCGGTTGCCCGCTGGCGCGGAAAATCATTCGAGTGGCGCCCCGCCGATGGTTGATGCGGCGAGGCGACGCCGGCTTGCGCGAGTGCGTTGGGCCCCCACGGGCGCCAGTGAAACCGCGTACCACAGGTCGCTCTAGCCCAGGGTCACTCCTACGTGTAGTCGCAAGATGGGGCAGAGCCGCATGTAAATTACAATACGAAAAAAGGAATGTGATAATCCCGGGGGTGGTAAGAGGAGAAGCTACTGGGTGTAAGCCATGTGGTGCAAGCGACGCATTGTACATATGCGGTGCATGCTATGTGGTGTAAGCTATGTGGTTGCAGCTGTGCGGCGGCAGCTCTACTGTGAAAGCTTTGGGTTGTAGACGATGGGTGTGACAACTATGCGATGCAAGCTGCGCAATGAAAAGCATGTCATGTGAGCTATGTTGTGTGAATGATGTGCGTCAAAGCTACGCGGTGCAGGCTATGTGGTGCAAACTTGATTTCTGTTCGGCGTGAGTTTTCTATTCCACCGTTCGCGCAAACATCCGCCCACCCACCCGCAACTTGGTTTGCAAGCCCTGGTGGTTGCGATAGGTGCTTGGCGTTGGCTGGTCCATCTCTGCGGCCGCGCCATCCCGCGTGCGCGCGCAGCGGCCAGCTAGTTTGGCGCGACCGACGCGGCTGCGGTGGCGCTGACCGCTGGGCACACCCCAGCGGGCACTGCAGTGCGAGTCGGGTATTGGGGCGGGCGCGGTATAATGGCAACGTCGAGAATGGTAGACACGATGATGATGGTAGCGATGCTGGTGACGATACAGACAGCGCCGACGGCAAGGCCAGTGACGGCGCCGACGCTGATCACGCCGGCAACGATGACGGGGTCCTCACGTCGGCGATGCAGGTTTTGGAAAGAGTTCGACATGCGCGCGCGGCCGACTCGCGAGAGTGGCCCGCATGGAGTACGCACGAATGATCTCGGCATGCGGCGCGAAAAGGCTCGTTTCGCAGAGTTCCATGAATATGTTGGGGACCCAGGTGTTTTTTTTGTTCAGAAAAATCGCAAAAACGCGCAGGTTGTTTTGATAATTGATGGTGCGAAACCATGTGATCATGTAGTTTCGTGACACTCGGTTTTGAAAACGTTACGAAACCTGTGCGTTTTTTGTTTAGTGATTTCGGCACGCGCGCGCGACGACGCGCGAACGTGCACTTCGTCCCGTCTTTTGAAAAATGGTGTTCTAGAAAGTTGATGGTTGTTGATGAACAAGTAAGCGCGTGTATATTCGTTTGCAAAGGATGGCGGGGGGTCGATGCCGGCCCCCCTGGGATGCCGCGGGTTCACATTTAGGATGGACGATGGGGCCGAATCGTATGTAAATTGCAATACGGAGTAGGGAACCGTTAAGTCCGGCCTCGGGAAGGTGGTGGAGTCTATTGTCTTTTAAGAAGGGAGAACATACGGTGTTGGCTATGTGGTGAGCGTTGTGTGGCGTCAGCTGTGTGGTGAAAGCCGCGCCACAGATCGAGGATCCAGGTTTTGGAGTGCTTGGGTTTTTTTTTTGCGCCTTCCTGTGGGGTTCGCGTGGCCACGGCTAGATCCGCCTCGAAATTCTGGGCCAAGTTCACCCCATGACAAATCAGTTTTTGGCGGGGGGATATGGAGCCAACTGCGTTCCCATGTCTCCCATTTCAGGCCTCTGGGGGGCCGTTTCGGGCCTTGGGCCCATCAGAACTCGATCCCGGGTGAACGATCGGCCGAGCTGGACCCAGGAGGGGTCCGGGGCTGATCTTGGCTGGGCTTCGTGTCGGCGGAGCGAGGTGAGAGGAGGATGGAGCGAGGCGGGAAGAGAAGTCGCAGGCATCGCGGGGGCCTCGAGGACCGAGAGCACAAGGTCGCGGAGCCTTGTAGGAGGAGGGGGACCAGAGAAGGGCGGAGGGCTGGCCAGGTAGGAGGTCGCCGATACTGCTCGGCTGCGCGTCGCGGCTGCTGTGTCACGGGCGCGGCCTGCGGGGGCATGTGCTGCTTCCTCATCATCCATGAGCATCCCCGGGCCCTCCTCTGTCCTCTGGCCGTGGCATTCTGCTACCTCCGGCCTTCCCAAGGTCCAGGGCCCTGTGGGGGGCATCCATCCGTGCAGGGTCGTCAATCTGTAGCATGCCGTCGGGCCCCACACTTTCCCGCGGGCGCGCTAAGCAGTGAGGCGGAACGCTTGCGTTTATTCATCGGGAGGGCACTTGGCACGGGAGGGCGTGCTGCATCATAGCTGCGTGCTGTTTCGATATCGCAAGGCGTGCAAGAGGAGGCCTCCGTGGTATCTCGAGCAGCTCTTCCTTCCCGTCGGGGATGTCGGGGAGATTTCCCAGGGTCGGAGGAAGGATAGGCGACACCACCATCACCATAGCAGGCCACCTCCACCGAGGAGGTCAACGATGCCTCCGCGAGCTGGGGATGAGGGATGCCTCGAGCAAGACACACGCACACACACACCACTAGGAGAGCCCTCCCAGCTCCCCGCACTGGTGGTGGTGGTGGTGGTGGTGTCACCTATCCTTGTTCCTGAAGGGGGTGGGACAGGAGACCTTCCCGAGGGTGAGGATGCAACGCCTGGGCGGTTGAATTTAGTACTGGCATTGGTATAATTGTGGTCGGACGCCATCCAGATCTGGCATAATCCATTTCAATATCGCCTAATCCCTCTCAGTCGAGCTCAATCCTGAGTTTTTCGTATCAGGCTTCATCCGGCTTGCTGACCCCTTCATCGGCCTCTATAGCCATTAAATCGTTCGTGCGACGATGTTCCATGAGTTGCCTCCTAATTTTGTAAGTGGGAGGAGTTACCATCCCGACGACGAAACAAATGCATAAACATGCACGTTTGGAATTCCGCGCGGATTTCTCGGATCGGCGCAAGACCTTACCTCCCCTCACTGGCGCGCGGAGCGCGCCGGGGGCGGCGCCGGAGGCCGCCAGGGGGGTCCAGCGCCGACCCCAGACATCGGCCCTGAGCTCCTAAAGCTGATGTTTATGCAGCTTTCTACTTCTATGCATCCCCATCCGAGGCGGGAAGCTATACATGCCCACCGCGTGGAGGATTAATTTTCGGGGACCTCGGCAGGCGATGGATATGGACATATTCGGGCCCCTGGGGGCCGAATATATCCATATCCACCGCCCGCTGGCGCACCAGGAGGTCGGTTCCCAGGCGATTGATTTGGATACATCCCCGCCTCGCACCCCAGGCCCCTGACCGGCGGGGAGGGGAGGGAAGGTTGGCCATCGGCCTCTTCCTGATCTTCCAGGCAGTGCTGACGGCCGCCCTGGTGGCGCCTCCCTCGGGTAGCGACGCGCCGGCCAGGGGGCTCCCCGAGGGCGCGGCAAGTCCAGGAGGTGAGGTCTCATGCTCGAAGGAGGAGGAGGAGGAGGAGGAGGAGGAGGAGGAGGAGG